AGATTATGGTCATGCTGTTGGTGTCGAGCCTTTTCTTCACATTAGTTTTCATATCTGAATTTGATCCGGTGCTATTTTCCATACCATTGGAGTGATGAGATAGTAGCAAGTGGGCCGAAGGTTACGAGTGGCAACAGATTATGGTCATGCTGTTGGTGTCGAGCCTTTTCTTCACATTAGTTTTCATATCTGAATTTGATCCGGTGCTATTTTCCATACCATTGGAGTGATGAGATAGTAGCAAGTGGGCCGAAGGTTACGAGTGGCAACAGATTATGGTCATGCTGTTGGTGTCGAGCCTTTTCTTCACATTAGTTTTCATATCTGAATTTGATCCGGTGCTATTTTCCATACCATTGGAGTGATGAGATAGTAGCAAGTGGGCCGAAGGTTACGAGTGGCAACAGATTATGGTCATGCTGTTGGTGTCGAGCCTTTTCTTCACATTAGTTTTCATATCTGAATTTGATCCGGTGCTATTTTCCATACCATTGGAGTGATGAGATAGTAGCAAGTGGGCCGAAGGTTACGAGTGGCAACAGATTATGGTCATGCTGTTGGTGTCGAGCCTTTTCTTCACATTAGTTTTCATATCTGAATTTGATCCGGTGCTATTTTCCATACCATTGGAGTGATGAGATAGTAGCAAGTGGGCCGAAGGTTACGAGTGGCAACAGATTATGGTCATGCTGTTGGTGTCGAGCCTTTTCTTCACATTAGTTTTCATATCTGAATTTGATCCGGTGCTATTTTCCATACCATTGGAGTGATGAGATAGTAGCAAGTGGGCCGAAGGTTACGAGTGGCAACAGATTATGGTCATGCTGTTGGTGTCGAGCCTTTTCTTCACATTAGTTTTCATATCTGAATTTGATCCGGTGCTATTTTCCATACCATTGGAGTGATGAGATAGTAGCAAGTGGGCCGAAGGTTACGAGTGGCAACAGATTATGGTCATGCTGTTGACATGACGGCTAAATTAATATAAACATAGTATAGAAAACCTTTTTGTTTGAAGTAGTAAATTTCAAATAAACTTATCTCGTACAAACAAAAGAACACATAGAATGCTGCTGGGTATGCAAGAACACATAGAAACCAGTTGGTATGCAAATGCTCTGAAGAATAGTAGTGGATAAGGTTTTATTCTTGTTTTGGATACATTTTAGAAATCTAGCATAATTTAACTTTGAGTAAAATCATTGCTTATCCTGCCTGCTCTTTACTCGGTTATTACGCAGAATGCTCTTATCATAGTTAAAGTTTTTTTCCCCCCTCCTTTTGTGCAGTATAATCGAAAAGGCGAGCAATGCATTAGAAATTCTCAAGGAAGTTCTTGATGCCGTTGATCCTCAGCGTCCTGAGGTACGTTCCTTTGCCAGTTTGACTCTCTAAATAGGCATGGGTTCCGCTTGCTGCAAGAGGAAATGAGTCGGAAAAGAAACATATGAATGTGTGGGTAGTAGAGGCTTATCTTAAGTTGTCAATAGTATTTCCTTTGTCCGATAAGGATACCTTTTTTTGACGTGTCGAATTTTAACGCTTAGAAATACTTCAAAATTTTCATGTCTTTGATTTTTTGCAAGTATTTTCTTTAAATTATTCACTCCAATCTCATCATTACCCGTAAGAATAATATCATCAATATATACCATTAAAACAACCATCTTCTCAATTTTCAGTATGTCTATAGAAAATGGTATGATTTGCTTGACTTTGAAGAAAATCATAGCTTGTAATTGCGTTCCCAGAAACGTTCAATTGATGTTTTCATTAAAAAAATTGAAGTATTCAGAGAGTTCTAATTGAATGCTAAACAAAAATGACAATTCCGTGTCACATATACAAGTAGAGATTTGAGATAATCATGCAATACCACACCTATTGAAATAAACGCCTGTCTGATGAGTTAAGTTATTTGGTTATTTTTGGGCCTCTAGCATGCATCTTTAACCTCAGCTACTTTCCAGGGGGCAAGAGATGAGTTTACACTTGATCTAGTAGAACAGTGTTCGTTTCAGAAGCAGAAACTAATGCATCTTGTCTTGTCTTCTCGGTATGGTTCCATCTTCTCATGTTTTTTTGACATCGCATTACTTCGGTTTATTATCATGACATTTAGTTTTTTACTTCTACAAAAAGAGACTTGGTTACTACAACATGAATGGTCATTTTTCCTGATTCATTGGAATACGTTGCTACATTCTTTCAATTGTCTGTCCTTGAACTCTCTGATATACAACTCTGTTGTTTCGAATTCTCGGTTCTTTTCGTATATTGTGGTTGAAATGCTCGTTAACTTGCTATAGCTATCCACTATGATAATATTGTCGGTAGATAGCACTTATATATACTTTCACTTCTCTCCATGAAAGCCCGACTTATGAAAAAAAAGTGCTACGTACTCGGTTACTGGCAAATGTCATCAAACTATATAGCTCTGTTGGTCTATCGTTGAGATTCCCGCTTATTTTCATGTGTTTCAGGGATGAGAAGATTGTCTGTCGTGCCATTGAATTGAACGAGAAGCTCCAAAAGGTCCTTGAAAGACACGACGCCCTTCTCTCGGGTCAGTTTATGTCCACTCATAATCAGTTCAACGGCGAAGAAGTCGGTAGGTTGAGAGCAAATCATTATAACCAAGATGAAGGAGAAGATGAAGAGGCCGAACAACTTTTCCGAAGGTAATACATATCTTCCAATGCATTTTTTTTGTGTTTTATTAGATCATTCCAGTCTAGTATGGTGTCATATAAGTAGAAACAAACTAAGTAGCAAGTTATACGAACAACAACAGGCTGCGAAAAGGAAAAGCTTGTATAAGGCCCGAAGACGAAAACGGTTCTTCAGAGCGACCGTCATTGGGTTCATTAGGATTATCAATTCCAGTGGAACGTGCAAACCGTCCAATCATTCGACCAATCGACGAGAAGGTGTCGACTACATCAGATATGCAGCAGGGTCAGGGCGTTGTAATACCACCACCACCAGTAAAACATGCAGAAAGGGAGAAGTTCTTCAAGGATAAAAAGACGGGTGGTGGAGTTAATGAGCACATGAGAGGCCTATCTTTACATAGTCGTAATGCCAGCAGCTCTCGCAGTGGAAGCATAGATTTGAGCGAGTCCTGAAGAAATGGTGTGAACAAGAAAGGTAGGGTTTGTTTGAGAGTGTGGTATTTAATTTATTTTCACTTCAACTCATTATTTGTAAAGTTGAGCGTTTGTATGAGTTTGATGTTATTTTCACTTCCATATTTGAGCATATTGTAATTTGGTCTTCAATTTTTAAAACTAGCTATTATATAGGCTTTATATTTTTCAAATTTACTTTTTTTTTTTTAAAAAATTCTTGAAATTCATTTATAATTTATTACATTAAATGTTATAATCGTTAGACTAACACGACTTTTTACAATGTTATGATATTGTCTACTTTGAGCATAAGCTCTCATGATTTTGGGGCTTTCCCAAAATACTTCGTAACAATGGAGAGAGTATTCTTTATAGCCAATATGAGACTTTAAGCTATTAATAAATTAAATATATTTGATTTTTGAAATATGACAGCTATAATTCATTCTTCAATTCCATTAAAATTAAAACATATTATTTTAATAATTTTAAATAGTAAAAATAAACCAACAACCACATTTGACTTTGACGCTGCACAAAGTTTATCATGAAAGGCAAGAGAGGATAGTTTAAATAAATGTTTATTTAGTGTAAATAATTTTTGAAAGAAGCATAGCACGAATCTTTTTTTTTCCAAGTTTTAAAATTTTTAATTAGAAAAAAAAAAAAATTCAATCTTGATTAGACAAAAGGATTCTCAAATATTTTGAACAAGATTATATACGGGAATAACAATGTTATTAAAATTTTATATAAATAAGGTATTTTCAATAATTTTATTACATTATTTAACTTAACATAATTAAGTGTGGTCAAATATTTTATTCTTATTAAATTAGATTACTAAAATAATTTTATATCTCAAGATTTAAAATTTTAATTTTATTTTGTAATAAATTTTAATAATTATCATCAAATAAATAATTTTAATAAAATTATATAAACTTTAGCATAATTTATATTTAAAAAATTAAATGAGGTAAATTATATTAAATGAGATATACTTTTATATTGTTATAATAGTTTATTAATAAAATAAAAAAAATTATATAGGTATATAATAATAATTAATTACCATAGAAGACCTATTTTGAATCAATTAATTGTATTTTTTAACCTAAGCATTTCATTGATAAAAGAGAATAGAATTATAAAAGTAAGAGAATCGATACTAACATAGAAAGTTGAAAAAAAAAAAAAAAAATCATATTTAGAAAAAGAACAAATAGGATAAAAGAAAAAGAAAAAAAGTAAGTACAAAATTAAAAATATTCCAGAAAAATAAATAAATTAAACAAAAAAAAGGAAAGATTTTAATCACTGTAACAATCTATATTAGATGGTGGAAAATTTGAGATGATAAATTAAATTCCATCTCGTTTTTTTGATCTCAAATCTTATACTAACATTTAACAAACTCCTAAAAAATGTGACAACTACAGCATTAACGAGAATACTCACTTTTTTTTTATTCTATCATTTTGGTGAGTAAAATTAAGGGTGTACTCTGAACTCGACAGTCGGAATCAATCCAATCCAAATTATAAAGATTGGATTGGGTTGAGTTAACATCTTAAGCCAGGTCGAGTTAGTTTTCTAAAACTGAAAATATTTGATCCGTGTCTTAGTTGGTTGGACAAATTAAAAGTATTTTTTTAAGTATAATTTTGAAAATAAGGATTAAGGTTGGAAAGGTGTTAATTGAACCAAAAATTAAGATAATTTAGTTTTAGTTGATATTAAGAGTGATTGTTTATTTTTTTTGCATTCTAATCCATCTTGCCTTGCTGTCAATGCCGATCTAAGTATATAAATGAAAATGGCGTTTCATCCTAATCCGATGAATGTATACATACATATATATATATATATATCAATCCAACTCAACCAACAATCATTCTCATTTTATTAATCCTTTCTCCGTTTCTCTCCCCATAGCAGCTAATGGCGTTTTTCCCCTTCATCCGGAGAGCCGTCTCTGCCAAACTCCTCTCTCAATCCCACTGCTCTGTTTCCAAGTCCCTTCTTCATCGTTTTTCCCCTGCTTCTTCTCCACACTCCTTTCATTCGCGGGGAGAATTGGCCTCCTACATGCGTGCAGCTATGTTCACGGATCCCAATAAGCCGCTTACCATTGAGGAATTCAACATGCCCCGTCCCAAAGCTGGAGAAGTCCTCATCAAAGTCAAGGGTTTGCCCTTCTTTTTAATCCCTTTTCTTCTTACTCTCTCTAATTCTGCGTTTCTGCGACTTTGGAATCCTGATGCAGTTCTTCGTCAATTCTGATTTATAATAACCATTACGTTTCCACATGCAGCTTGTGGAGTTTGCCATTCTGATCTGCACGTTATGAAAGGCGAGCTTCCCTTCCCTAGCCCTTGTGTAGTTGGACATGAGATCACTGGTGAAGTTGTTGAGCATGGACCGCTCACAGACAGTAAGACCATAGAAAGGTTGTATTATCTTAACATTTTCTTATCACAATTATTATTCAGAATGCAATTTTGTATGAATGATGAAATATTTCAAGCTCTTGTTCATTGCTGATAATTTAAGATTGTTAAGCAAGCTTTTGTTTATCTGCAATAAATGAGGGACATACCGGTTTATTGGTTACATTTTCTTGCTTTTGCAGACTTCCAATTGGAGCTCATGTTGTCGGAGCATTCATCATGCCTTGTGGAAACTGTTCCTGCTGTTCAAAGGTTAGTACCTTTGTCATGCTCCTGCTGCTCTTCAGTCTATTGTAACCCTTTAATCCCAATTCTTGAGTTTTGAAATGCCTACTGATCATGTCTATGCTTAAACGTATGGAGAACTAATTTGATCAGTTTGATTACTGAATTGGGGAAGGGCCATGATGATTTATGTGAAGATTTCTTTGCTTATAACCGGGCCAAGGGAACACTTTATGATGGTGAAACTCGGCTGTTCCTTCGCAGGGATGGTAATATATGTTATCATTATTTAACTTATCTAAAATTATACTTTTGTCAATGTTGTTTTAGCTGAAACTTTTCAGATGCCTTCTTGTCATATTTCTAAAATTATACTTTTGTATGGGTTTAATGACTTCTTGTCATATTTCTCCTTTTGGCACTCTTTTATGTTGTTTAGTTATTTCCTTCCCAAGTCTACTCTTTTTAGTCTTTGGAAGCTTGTATTTCTATTCTCTTTTCATTTGTCTCTGAAATCTTGTTTCTGGTTCAACATAATAATAATAATAATTTTCGGGGTGATTTATGCAAATTTTTCCTGTGGGATCCCATATCAGTTGGGGAGGAGAATGAAGTATCCTTTATGATAAAGGTGTGCAAAACTCTCCCTAGCAGACGCGTTTTAAAAACCTTGAGGGGAAGTCCGATAGGGAAAGCCCAAAGAGGGCAATATCTGCTAGCGGTGGGCTTAGGTCGTTACAAATGGTATCAGAGGCAGACACCGAGCGATGTGCCAGCGAGAAGGCTGAGCCCTGAAGGGGGGTGACACGAGGCGGTGTGCCAACAAGGACGATGGTCCTTAAAGGGGGTGTATTGGGGGGGGGGGGGGGGGGCCC